AAAACTATTTATTTACACTAATTACTATTAAACTTAAAAACACTATTAAATTATTACTACTTCGGTAATTATTCTATTTATTTACAGTACTGTTACTATTCACTGTCCTATTTATTTCACTTCTATCACTTTTAATTTATCTCTTGATTTACTTCTGCGACGGTCAATTTATTTATTTTATAAGCCGCTCACACACACGTATGTCCGATCGCACACAATCACTCTCGCGGTCGCTACAATACTGTTTCTCAAATTGTTTATGATGTAACGGTATCTTATTTCTTTTATACCCGCTTCCCAGCATGTCAGTCTTTTTTCCACAGTAATTTTTAAAAGAGTATGTATTACAGACCGTATGACTATTTTCACAATAAATTCCGGATTATGAACTTCACATTCTGAGAAATTCAATAAGAAATAATTTTGTGAAAAATATTCTGATTCTACTGCTGATAGAAACATTTTTGTGTTGTGAATATGTAAGAAATTTTCCTCATTGTCTTGTAAATCTTTTTTGAATATTAAATACACATAGAGAACTATATTTGTGACTTTGTCCTTAGGAAATTTAACAGTCCTCTGCTTAAATTTCTTAGAGTATGTTTATCTTCAGCTACAAGATCGTCTGTATATATTATGTCTGACTTACATGTGTTACATCAAACTTTTTTTAATACAATAAGTATGTAATTACTAGCATTTCTGGCATTAGAGTTTCAATGTTAAGTTAATTTTTTCCGATTTACTAATTGACGGAATGTCGTCAACCTCACAAAATGATGCAATTGGCAAAGTTCCATAACAATTATATTTTAAAGTCATTAGATACTTTTTTGTGATTCGCTAGATATCACTCTTTTTGGTACACGCTTAAACATTTTGGACGAACACGCATAATCAGCATTATTATTATTCCTTGATATCTGCCTCGTGTGATAAAAGTCCCGGCTGGCAGTGAGTCACTCTTAAGTCCATACCGCTGCTCGGGATTGTTTACACTTGTGTCGATGAAATTAAGTTCGTGGCCAACAACCAGTTATAATTGTGGATTCAGGCAACGTATTATTAACAATGAGTTTTATTAAACTGTCCGCACTTCGGTTCGGCAACCGTTGGGAGGGAAGGAAGTGTATAAGAGTCATCTATTATTGTAATTAACCGCGCGACAATTTAAAAAATACGACAAACAATAAACAAGGAACTGATACAAAAGAATTTTTATTACACAAATTATTAATCAAAGCAATGAAAATTAAAACTAAATTTTATTACTTGTTACCAAAATTTTAACACTAAATACTGTCTTTGTACATAATAGTATTTTGCACTAAAATTCAATCTTTTCTGAATCACCTCGATGACCATGGTGTGGTATCCTTTTGGATCGAGATCCAATGAAACCGCTCGATTTCCATTATTTCCCTCAAAACAGGAATCGGACAAAATTTATAAAGACTAAATTTATTTTTCGTTAACAATGGCAAATGTGCAAAAACTTTAAAATGTTATTTTCAAGCAACATTTTCCTGTCCTTTATATAAACTAATAGATTATTCAGTTCTTTGAGAAATGCTTTAGACTCTATTAATTAAGGTGGTAGTTCGAGTTTTGCAAATAACAAGTAATTTTTTATACCATCAATGTCGTGTTCTAATTGTTGAATAATTTCTGATATAATTAATGCACGATTTATTATTTTGATCCGTGTTTAGGTTTTATTAATCCAGGGCTGTCATCACCTAAATTTCCGACGCCGGATAAACACAGCAAAAATCCCGGATATTTGGGCGAAATATGGTTTTATTCCCGGGCACCTCTGACACCTAACAAAACTAAAAACATATAGTTTGTTATTAAAATTGAATTAAGTAAGTATGTAACTGCAACAGATAATAAACATTTTTAATATAATTACACATTCTTTCTGAGGTAATATGGTAACAAAAATAATTAGAAACGTCTTTTTGGCGTTAATCAAATTATTATATGATACTACTAATAACCAACTAACTATAATACTTTATAATTATAAAATAAACCACGCCAATGATGTTTTCATTATATTTTATTTAGTTAGGTAGCCAAATCTATAATACTTGTTGATTGTAAATTAAAAGTACTTAAGTAACTGCTAAAACTTTTAATTTTAACGAGATCATTTTTTTTTACTTATTTTGCTATTTTTTAGTCTTTCCAATTTTCGCTAAAATATCATTTTTTTCCAACAAGAATTTGTAAAAATCGGAACAACTCAGGTCTTTAAAATTATACTTGATTTTGATAAGAGAAGAAACCGGGTGTATGTTTAGCGAGTTTCTTTCTTTCGTCAATTGTCAATGAATTCATCGCTTATCCATAAAAAAAATGGATTTCCCCTGACAACAAAAGTATTATTTATTTAAAAACCCCTGCTGGACGGCCCCCGGACGCCCTTCAAACTAGGACAAATCCGGGGAATCCCGGAAGGATGGCAGCCCTATCAATAACAATTATTAACGTAATGACAATGAATATTGTTTTGAAAATATTTCCGTTATTCTGTAATTTTTTATCTTACTTAAGTTTATAATGTTTTCCCGCTCCCCTTGTCAGCAAAAATAATAAAACTTCGAACCCTCTCCCTCCCTTAGTCGGTTTACGTAATACCTGAACGGCTTTTAATTGAATCTACACATTTTGAGATTATTCATGCGTTCTTTTATTCGTTCGTCTATCCGTCCTTCTGTGTGTCACAGGCATTTTTATCAGAAATTGGTTGACACTTTTCAGCTAACGATTTGTAACTTGAATATGTTTACTTACACGAACATTTTAGGAGCAACTGTCTTAAAGATGAATTTTTATAACTAAATAAGTTGCTAGATTCCAGTTCCTTAAATCACCGAACAATTGTTAATGTTTTTGTCTGTTTTTTTGCAGAATCATGTCGGAAACTGCGGTTTCGAACCGATTTACTGCGAAAACAAGTGCGGTCTAAAAGTTCAAAGAAGACATCTGAGCCAGCACAAGGCGGGAGAGTGTTTAAAACGACTCCTGCCTTGTAGGTATTGTTCTAAAGAATTCGTCGCTGACACCCTGGCTGTACACCATAATAAATGTGGCAGAGTTCCTGTGGTATGCCCTAATAGATGCGAAGCAACTGTTCTTGCCAGAGAAGAAGTTGAAACCCACCTAAAGGACCATTGTACTAGTTCTGTTCTAAATTGTAACTTCAAAGATGCAGGATGCCGATTCAAGGTGAGAAAAATTAAAACGAAGCGAAACTAATTACATTTTTTTAAGAACTCAATTCACTTTGGTGATTTGTATTTATCGTATTTGTTTTTCTATTTTCAGGGACCACGATATTCAATGGAAAAGCATTTGGAGGAAAATTGTCAACAACATTTGTCCCTTATGTGTAATGTGGTAACCAAACAACAACACCAAATCGCTTCTTTAAAGACAGCTTTATCAAGACTTTCTCTCAACTATTCCGGCACCCTCATTTGGAAAATTAGCGATTTTACTTCCAAAATGGCTGAGGCTAAAACAAAAGAAGGCATGGAACTTGTTTCTCCACCATTTTATACTAGTCAGTATGGATACAAACTTCAGGTAGGTAATAAATTGGGAACTATTTTCAACCATTTCCTTTATTTTGCATTTTTTTTACTTTTCTTTTTTCTTTTAGGCTTCATTATTTCCAAACGGAAACGGAACGGGTGAAGATACTCACATTTCTGTCTATATTAAAATTTTGCCAGGAGAATATGATGCTCTTCTACGATGGCCCTTTGCCCATTCGGTTTCTTTTACCCTCTTTGATCAATCAACTTGCCCCGAAAAAGCTTGCAATATCGTAGAAAGTTTTATTCCTGACCCTACCTGGAAGAATTTTCAAAGGCCCAGTAAAGAACCGGATTCCTTAGGCTTTGGATTTCCAAGATTTATTTCTCACGAAATGCTCAAGAAAAGGCATTTCATGAAGGATGACACAATGTTCATCCGAGTTAAAGTAGATCCTAGTAAAATAGTTGCTGTGTAAGATTCGCCTAATTTACTGACAATGTAAATAACGTAATAAGTATTTTGTAAGACTGTTTTTTTAGTTTGAGAATTTTTTTTTGAGTACTTAAAAAGAAATCTACTTTTTTGTTATCGTGTATATAATCAAAGAAGTGTTTTATTGTTTCAATTAAAATATTATGTCATTTTTCTTAAGAAAGTTAGGATTCTCAGGAAAATGTAGGAAATCTTAACGAATGAAATTTCAGTTGTACATTTTCGTTCATTTACATATGTGTGATAGCTGGAAAATACCAAAGGTCTGTTAGTATCCCCGAATTTTTTTGTATATATTGTACAGTTATTTTTAGAATTAGATCTCGTATAATAAGTGCATATTGTATTACATTTTGTGTTTTACGGTTTTTTGTACGTAGAAATAATAAAATCGTTTCCGTTACAATGATGTTTTATTGATAATGTGTCTATTTCAACCGTTATCTATTGAACTGCTTCTACAAATTTTTTCACAGACGTGGTCGTTACAAACTAACAATTTGTAATTTACCTTAATTCAAATTTTAATAACGTCTTAGGATATTATTATTTACTGTATTATACATAAATTCAGTAAGGTGGTCCTTCTCTATATTTTATTAGGCTATGAAAACGCCATATTCTTATTCAGTATGCAAAAACTATTCGTATTACGTAACTAGATAATTTTCTTGGGTAGGTATGAATGAAAAAGTACATGATGAAGAAATTTTTAATACAGGATTGGAGATCCTTGAAAGCCTTTTACAAATTCGATGCTTGGATTTATAGATAAATTGCATCTTCTACTTTCGTTGGATGATAATGTAAAACTTTAAAATACTGAAGGTACAAATAATAAGTGGCCTGTACCTCATAAATATACAGGTTTATTTGTTGTAATTTTTTTTTCAGAAAAGGCGTAGGTAAGATATAAAAGAAAAATTACTATATCAAGATTTTATTACAAGCTTCTTTNATAATAATACATATCACTAATAATAAATGTACAATGAAATATACTTATTCTTAAAAAGTAGTAAGACAAATTTTTGTAAGTAAAAAAGTCAGTTCCATGACAAGTCGAATCACAAAAAGAAAAGTACATTCAGCACACACTTATTAAAATGGCTATCATAGAACATTAGCTACCAAGCTTCGCCTCTAATACTAAACGGCTACAAAATTCGAACGTCTACGATTTCAGTTCGCATAACATTCTCAGATCCTTCTCAATATTTCCAATAACAAAGTATATTAAAATAAAGCAAGTTGCATTGCACCATTCAATTTACACTTCTCAAAAAGATAATAAAATCGAGGCCATTGCCAGTCAAAAATAAGTCATTATTTTTAAAACAAAATCAACTCGGGAGAATTTATTTTAAACAATGTTTTAATAAAATGTCTTCTGTGTATTATATTATAAGAATGTATCTGATTATCGAAGAATTAATAACTAATACATATATATACACATTAATTTCTTTTGAGCTTAAGCTGTCAATAATAATTAAAAATTTTCTATAGAATATTTTAAGCGACTGAATAAATATTATTATAATTTCCAGCAATACGTTGAAAATCCAAAAGAGAAAACTCATTAAAAAAAATAAAATACACAATCAAAGTCAAACATTACTAAAGTTGCAGTAAAACATATGCGTATACATATAAGTAAAATGTAAAACCTATACATTTCGAATTAACTAATAATAAAAGTACAAAAAAAGATGTTCAAAAAAGCTGATTTTTAAAACAAAATAAAATTATATTACAATGAATTACGTAAGCAACATGACAGAATTAGAATTTCAAATAAAATTAATTTACTGTTTAAAAAACAAATTTTCTTCTTATTTACCTTTCCTGGTCTTTTTATTGTACAATTAAAAATTCGCGCTTCATATTTTGAAAATGAAAATAATTACGTCACTTTTTCATAAATTCAGGTACCAAAAATGCCTGTTAAAAATTACAAATTACGTTTTTTGGAAAAAAAAATATATTCTCTCTAGAGAATTTTTATCACAATCACTGGCAATGGACGTACCTGATTTTTATTTCATTCACGTTTCATTTAACACCACTTTCGTTCACACACATAAATTACGAATTTTGATAGTAGGGGGTTGAGGCCGGAGGTGGTTGTCCATGCGGGGGTGGGTTCTGATACTGGTAGTCATAATTTGGAGGTGGAGGTGGTGCTGCAGGTGGGTATGGCCCTTGCGGAGGCGGCGGGGCGTATTGTTGAGGAGGGTACGGTGCAGGGTATGCATACATGGGTTGGGGAGGAGGATGTGGAGGAGGTGCTCCGTAATCATATGGAGGAGCTCCAGGAGGCGGAGCATATTGTGGATAGCCTTGTGGATATACTGCATAATTATACTGTGGAGGTTGTTGATGCGGGGGTTGCGGATACGCCATCATTTCATAAGGAGGGTGTTGTGGAGGTCCATAAGCAGCATAACCTTGAGGTGGAGGGGGAGGAGGGTGAGGGTGAGGATAAGGTTGTATGTTACCATAGGCGTAATAATTGCCATAACCCGCGTGATATTCAGGAGGAGGGGGTTGTTGCTGCTGTTGCTGCTGCTGCTGTTGATGTTCAGGTTTAGGTTGTTCCTCTACGTCTCCTGTGGTTGGATGTTCATGTTCTTGCTCAGGATCATTTTCAAATTCATCCTCCAGTTCTTCAGGAGCTTCTAGTTCTTCTGTTTCTGACATACCAAACGATTCCTCATTTGCTGACTCGCTTTCTGGAGGAGGTTCTTGATCAGGTTCCTCTTCAGAATAGGATGATGACTGGGTCATTTCTGAAATATCCTACAACAAATTATATTGTTAAAATAGCATTGTTTTGAATTGCACAATTTTTACATCACCTGTATTCTCTGTGTCGCTTCGTTAATCATTTGACTTGTTGACTGTTCAAGTTGTTCAATAGCAGACCCAATTGCAGCCTTTGTTGTTGTTGTTGTTGATGTAACATCCCCTCTATTTTCTGTTGCGGTAGACGATCTAGGTGCTATTTTAGCCTTTACTGGAGGAACTTTTGTAATCTGTACATCTCCTCTACTTTGAAATTTAATTACTTTGCTGTTTACTTCAGGCTTTTCTCCAAACGAAAAATTGTGTCTTTGAAGACGGGCATAGTCCTCACTACCTATTTTTGATTGCTGTTGTGACTGTCGATACTGTTGCTGCATTAATTGCTGCTGAGGCGACACAGGGGTGGGCGACGACAATTCGCTGTCTTTAGACATTCCTACACCCTTCACAATCTCTTGTCCAATTTGATAAGGTTTTGTTTTTGCCACGTTAATTTTGCGATTAACACTTTGAATACGAGAAACAAGATTAGGAACTGTCTGTCTTATACTTCGAACATTCAGTTTAGTGGGAGCGTTGACTCCATGGGATAAAGGAGGTCTAGGTGGACGTTTCTGTGGCAGGTTAGGCATCATAGGGTGGGTCTTTGAAGGGGGAAAATTCGACTTAACAGCACCTGCTTTGGCGGCTTCATTATCTTCAGCTTTACCTCTAACTTTTATTGCGGTTTTTATTGCAACTATTTTACCATTTTCTAATTGCATGTAGACTCCCTTAGGAGATTTCAATACAAGCACTTTTTGACCTGAAAATTATAATATAGGTGTTAAAATTATAATAATTGTTTTGGTCTGTTACTTCTATTACTCACCCGCTTTAAGCACTATATTTCCTTTGTCAGGCTGACTGGTTGGTATGACAACATCTAAAGGCAAAATCATTTCTTGAGCAGTCATTCCTTGTCTTTGCCAGTGTTCAGCAGGTATCCACCTCGACACCCTTTCGCCTCCTTGCTGCATTGGTCTTACAGAAGCAACAGGTCTGTGACTACGTGATCCTGGTTGGAAGGCAGGCTGTCTGGATGCTTGCTTTTCTCTTTCATATCCCTTTTTAGCAAGTCGTTTTTCCTGTTGAGAAAGTTGTTTTTCTTTTCGATCAACTAATAGAGATTCATGTTGAAACGGTTCTTTGTTTAAACGTCTACCATACTGCTCTAGAACTTTCTGTAGTACGATGTCTATATAGTTCTCTTTGACAGACGACCAATCCTTTTCTTCTACTTCCTCTTTATCATCAAAACATAGCGAGCTAACGTCCTTCATGGTAAGGTTTGCATCAGGATTGCATTCGTCAACAACGCGATCAGACATACCTTTAAAAGTGTAAAGAAATTAACAGAACGATACATTTATACACATTCAAATTATCGTAAATTACCTTGTTTATTGATTTGGCGATCATAAATTTTCTTTTCAAGGCAATGGTCCATAACCAATCTATAGACAAAACACGGTTTCCTTTGGCCGTATCGATAAACTCTGCATACAGCCTGAGTATCGTGACAAGGATTCCAAGAGGCATCTAACACAACAACACGATTTGCGCCTATCAAATTTATTCCCAAAGAGCCCGCTCGAGTAGAAACCAAAAACAAGTAAATCTTAGAATTTGAATTAAACTCGTTTATTAATTTTTCTCTTTCTAAAGCACTTGTTGAACCATCCAACCCTAAGAAAATAGATATAAAATGGGATAAACAACTAATTCTTACTATCAAATTAATCACTTACTATAATAATTGGCGTTTTTGGCCCAATTATGTGTTTCTCCTGGTACATTGTTGGATTGTAAAAATTGTTCTATTAAATCCAATGTAATTAACGATTGACTGAATAGTAACAATCGATCTCCTAAGGTAATACTTTCTCTGATAATGCAGAAAAGAATTTCCATTTTTGCTGAATTTTCAATGATTCCGGGAACATAGTCTTTCAGTAATTCAACAGCCTAAACACCAGTTAACAAAGTAATAAATCAATCTGATTAACTTTAATTAAAATGCACTTACCCAATCATAAGGAATCCCATCATCCTTAACATCTCTTAATTTAGAAATAGGAGGACTGTCATTATTTACTTTAATTTCATCTTCTTCTACAATTTCATCTTTAATTTCTTCTTTCTTAACATCTAAGGAACCAATTTGCTGAAATTTTTCCGTTTTGACTTCACCAATCTGTTGATAATTATTTTGCCCAAATTGTAAAGGGGGTTGGTATTTTTCCTCTAAAGTTTCTTCTTTCTTTATTTCCAATTTGACATCACTCAAAATATTAATCTTTTTAGATTCAGGTATACAAGAAGTACCACTAAATACATTTCCAATTTTAATATCACTAATTATATTAATTTTTGGCTTATGCTCAATACTGCTGTTACTGTTTTCAGATTTAATAGGGCTGTTAATTATTTTCGGTTTAATATCGTCCTCTTTCTTAATCCAACTGTTAGCACTATTACCACCAGTTTGAGCTGGAGTCTGAAAGTTCGTAAAATAGCTAGGCTTTTGCTCATAGTTGATATTTTGTTGACCCCAGTTGCTCTGTTCAAAGCGAACGAAATTCGAGTTAGACGACGAATGTTCTGCATCATAACTAAACCCTTGATTATTAGGTTTTGGAAATGAAGAAAATGAATTCTGATTATCACATGTTGAAAAGTCTTGATTTTGAAAATTTTCAATAGGTTGACTAATATTTCCGTAATTCGCCTTTTGATTGGGATTTTGGTTGATAAAATTGTTGTCTTCAGAAAAATTGTTAGAAAATGTGCGAACCTGTTGTATTTGATTTGGGAATGTGCTCTGCTGATTAGTAGTTTTATTCGACTGATTCATTAAATCATTCTTTATATTGTTAAAATTTGATTGTTGTTGATTCGTATAATTATTTTGTTGACTTTGGATACTTATCTGCTGATTTTGAAAATTTGGTTGTTGAGTCGGTAAATTCGTTTGCTGGTTTGTTATATTAGCTTGCTGGTTTGGAAAACCGCTTTGTTGAATTGATAAAGTACCCAACTGACTGTTTACGGTTCCTAAATTTGGTTGGCTTGGCAAATTCGCTTGTTGTTTTGTAAAATTACCCGGTTGATTTGAAAAATTGTTTGACTGAACCAATATGTTTCCCTGCTGAGCAGGAAAATTGGTTGTTTGATTTGGAACAGACCCTTGCTGATTCTGAAAGTTACTTTGCTGATTCGGAAAATTATTTTGCTGATTTAAAAACGTATTTTGCTGATTAGCAAAGTTACTTTGCGGACTTGGAAAAGTGCCCTGTTGATTAGAAAAGCTGGTTTGCTGATTGAGATAGTTGTTTTGGGGATTCGTGAAATTGTTTTGCTGATTAGCAAAGCTGCCTGGTTGGTTTTGTAATGTGTTTGGATCTGTGTAGGTATTTGTGCTTTGCTGCTGCGGTTGATTTTGAAAGGTTTCATTATTTTGAATAGACTGTTGCTGCTGTAAGTTTGAGAACTGACTGAAATTTTGACTTTGAATATTGGTAGTATTAGGCGATTGTTGATTAGGAAAGGCTTGGAAATTTTGATTTTGCACACCTGGCTGATAATCTTGATAATTTTGTGTGCTTTGTTGTAATGGGTAGGAATTAGTAAAATTTTGATTTTGTTGATCATTTTGAGGTGTCTTGAAAAAATTGGAATTGTCTGGAGAAAAAGAAGAACTATTATCGCCAAAGCTATGGAATTGTTGAGATTGGTCTAACTTATGGACAGGTTGATTATTATTAGTGGGAGAGCTGACAGCTTGATACTGGGTTTTATTAAAGTCTGGGGTTGTATTTACAAAAGTGCCAGGATTGTTAGCAACAAAATTACTGAAACTCATCTGATTACTACTACTTATTTGATTCTGTGATTGCTCCATGGGGATATTTTGCTGATTAATGGTTTGGCAAGCAAAATTTCCTGTACTGGGTTGCTGATTGAAATTAATATTTCGTTGTTGATTTTGACCAGACAATTGTTGATTTTCGCCTGGAATGTTTAACTGATTACCACCTTTTCCTTTCTTCTGACTATTTGGTTTACTATTATCGTTTTGAGAATAAGGTGTAATAGAGGCAGCTGGTTTAGTACCCGCTTTCTTACTTCTTGAGCTATTATTCCTTTTGGGAGTTCCTTTTTTAATTTTAGAATTTGTATTCGGAGTACCGTCGGCATTTGTTTGAACCTCTTCTAAGTCAATATCAACTGCTTCACCTCCTGCTCGTTTTTTCAAGAAATTATAAAGAACATCGGGATGATTCCAGATTTTGCAGCAGACAGCAAAAGCCTTCAGAGGATTGGGTACTGACTGTACCCTTACTACATCATTCATAAAAGTGTTGTACAATTTTCTTTGAAATGGTGTCATTCTGACCAACAAGACATACTCTTCTTTTTGAGGCAGAGCAGTTTGTAGAACAGCGTGTGATCTTCTTTGTACAAATCCGACCAGTAGAGAGTGAAGAACGTGAGCACGATAACGCATTAATTTTATGTCCGCTTCCGTAGAATCTATACATTGACCGTTTTGAATGGGTCGTTCAAACATATTACAGAATTCAGATTTGGTACCCAAATAGTTGGGTCTTACAAAGTCTACCATGCACCAGTATTCCATCAAACTGTTCTGCAATGGATAACCCGTTAGAACTATACGACGTTTTGTGCGCATTTGTTTTAAAGCTTGCGATATAGAAGCGTGTGAGTTTTTAATTCTATGTCCTTCATCACAGATTACTAGGTCCGGACCGGGGCGAACTAACGCCTCGTGAACATCTGACAGGCAAAAATAAATAATTAAAAATTAAATGTATCGAAAAGACCATTGTATTGTGAGCAAAAAGTTCGTGAAGGCCGAACATTTTTGAATTTAATAAAATGTATTAGTTTTTTAAAGTTGGCGTTCACTACGCTGTTTATAGTCATTTATTTCTGATTTCCTGGCATTACAAAAATACCCTTCTTGTACCATAACAGTTATTTACTTACCGTCAAAGAGCTTCCTGTTTTTATCTTCATCTTCCGCATCTTTGATTGGATTTGGTTTTCTTCGAGACCTGGATCGAGGATGTTTTCGCTGCGATAACAACCGGAATTGTTCATAGCCAATCAATAGTACACCACCCCCACTTCGCCACTCATGTATCACTTTTGCTCGAGCACTAAGTGTTTTGTGACTATCATTTAGTACATGTAAATTAAACGTTCGCGGTCTCACTTCACCATAGGCTTGCAAAGGGCTGTTTACTGCATTTTCTTCTGTAGGAAGCCACATATTATATTCTGCTAGCCAATTTTGCAAAGTATTAATTGGCATTATACAAAGAATAGTCTTTGCAGTAGTGTGTCTCAAAAACACGTCCGAAAATGATACCACTTGTAAAGTTTTACCGAGACCCATTGAATGAGCTAAGATACAACCAAAACCAGATGACGTTTCGAACCTATTAATGCTCTCAACAACGTTGTCATACATAAAACGAATACCGCCAATCTGATGAGGTTTTATGATACGAGCAATTTGAGGAGCAAGATAAATGTCCTGTTCGCCTTCTGGATGGCCTATATTAACTACCACACGCCCTTGTTCATCTGGTTGGTTAAATTCATCGTTTGTATGCATTCCTGAATTGGATGGGTCTTCCTCAACTTCTTCATGTTCTCCATCTGATTCAGACAAAACAATGCAATCGTCATCAGACGAAAGATCGATAGTGGGAACCCCTGGACGATCTGGATCGCGATCTTTAGAACGTACAGAAATTAATAAGCAGTCATTAATAAAAGTAGAAATAATGAAATAAACGACTTACGTTTTTGTTTTGGCGGAGGTTTTATATACCTACTGGAATCATACTCTGCTTCTTCAGGCGGCTGTTTGAAGAGTGGAGCAGGTTTTTTATTAACTGGGGCAATGCTGACGGAAGGCGTTAGTTGACCAGAGTTTGAAGGCCTTCGCATCGATACTAGGCTACGATTGGCAGGTTTCGGTATATTGGATGGTTTTGGGATTCGAACTAAATCAAAAGGACGTTTTGCTATTCTTGTCATGGGTTTAGTCTCACCATTTGGAAGTTTCACCAGCACAGTATTCCCTATTTTTGCACCTGATGTTCCTGAACACATTCATAAAAGTAATGTAATTTGTAAAATTATAGTTAATGTTTTCTATGATATATGGACCACAAGTAATATTCCTATAATTATAACTATGTCTTACCAGGTTTATTGCCTTGCAATAAAGATAAAACTTTATTTTGCATTCTTTCTTGAGCAACCTGTCTTTGAACTTCTCTTATAATTCTCTGTTGTTCCTGCACCCTTCTTAAACGTTCCATTTCCTGTCTTTGAGCAGCTAAAGTGGACTCATCTAGCTTGGCCTCATCCATTACTTCCCTAATGTTGCGTCTCATGTTCACACCCCCTTTTCTCTCTATTGTGACTTCTTCATCTCCACTCTTTTTGGCTGGCATTACGGAAACTTCTGTTTCTGTAGCAACTTCCGACTTTTTAGGTTTATCTTCTTTCTTAACGGTTTCAAAACTAATTTCACCCATTTCTTTAAGTTTTTGCTTTATGTCATATTCATAGTCTTCAGAGTCATTAGCAGGTTCTTCCTCTTTTATAGCAGGTTGAGATGTTGAAGGACCCTCAGTTTTACCTGTTTCCTCCACTAGTTTCTCAAAAAATTCAGGGTCTACTACATATAAGAAAACATTTACATATTTAAAACACATAAATAATAACTCTGAATATTAGTAAAAAATATATCTTACCTGCAGATTCTCCAACAGGTTCCCCTTCTGCATCTGTTTCTGTTTCCTCAACTTCTTCTTTGATCTCATTTGTCTTTACTTCTCCACTTACTGGGTTAATAATCTCATTCGTTTCACCTATCTCACCATCAGATTCAAATTCTGATTCAGTTTCAAAGTCTGTTATTTCCTCATCACTAAAATCATTAAACATATGATCTTCAAATTCAGGTCTTTCATCAAATGGATTAGACTTGTTTTCAAGATATTCACTATCATCAAATTTCGTTCTTTTAGCAATCATTTCATCTGAATAACTTATAGTTCTTTTACTATTTATTATATCAGTTTCAACAGGTCCTCTGATGTATGAAGGTTCTCTGGAGGGTTCCCTTTGTAGGACCTTCTTTTCTTCTTTTTCTTTATCTTTCCCTTTTTCAATTTTTTGGATCTCGACATCGTCAGGCTTTGGAAGAGGTGGCCTTTTAGGTTTTTCTAATCGTTGGATTGTAACGTCACCAAGCCGACTTAAAATCGGATCCATTATGAGTTCAAATACTTGGTATTTAATTCACTATTATTTTATCGGTAATTACATTACCGTTAATCATTTATACGAACTAAATTCAGATGTTTATAATTTGAATTTTGCGCCATTTTTTTAGAAATAATTGTAACCGGTAAAGTAAACAAAAGCAAAAGTCACATTTTGATGTTCACCAGCACCATGGTGCATCACAAAAATAATCACACTTTATTATACATTTCTAAAAAAGTGTTATTTATAAAACTACCCATCTCCAAACACTGTACAAAATGTAACAACCTATTCACGATAAACTACAATTTGCTAATTACTTGTGGATGTTTGGTGAATTTAAATAATAACCGATGTTTCAGTAACAATAATTAACTAGAACTTGTTTCAATTTATTTAACGATTATTAATAAAATTCACTGTCACTTCACATCAAAATGGCAATATCCATGTATCCAGCTTAGGACCTTTAGATTTTTAATTCCCATAATGAAGAATACTTCACGGTAGAGGCGCTGCACGCAAGACTTTTTCACTTTATTTTCTTTTGTTTCTAGTATTTGTACGAAGCATGTGTTGTTGTTATAGTAAATAATAATTGTTTTTATTAAGCACCCAATTAATTGATTATTGATACTAACAGTAGATTTTCTTAAAGTTTCAGCTGGTGCAGGTGTAAATAAAACTTAGTTTATAACCTCATTATGTAGGATAGGATAGGATTCCCGAAGCAGAGGCGTAACAGATATATGATAAAATTAAAAAGTGTATAAACAAATTCTACGCTACATAGATAATTTGTTTTCTTAAAATTGGTAAGCCAATTTATAAGAAATTGCAAATTTTTTACGTATATCAGCGACAAAAAATAATTTTCATTTGCATTGCCATGAAAGATAATTCAAAAAATCAATAAGTAGGCCTCCCTATGCCCACGATGCCATTTGCAAAAGGGGGTGGGGTTAATGTTTTAGCCTTCTGACGGTAGTGCAACATAACCTAAAATTTTAATTATAATTTTAACTAAAAAATAAATTCGTTTTTATAATTACGAAGTGTATTTATAATAACTATTTAAATGGAAGAAGAGATAATCGTTCATATTGAAGAAATCTTAAATGAAAGTGGATCTGAAACTACTGTTGAAACTGAAATTCCTTTTGAAAATGAAGTCAGCAATAAGGATTCACTTAGAGAAAATCATCAAGAAAAAGATCCCTCCATAGAAAAGCCAAAACTAATTAAATTGCCATTAAGCAGAGTAAAAAATATAATAAAAATGGATAGTGAAATTGGAATAATAAGTAACGATTCCGTTTTCGCAGTCACTAAGGCAACAGTAAGTGGTAGTATGTATTTGGCATTCAATAAAAATGTATTTATTTCTATTTGCAGGAACTGTTTTTACAACTTTTAATCAGAGAAGCTGTGAGATTTACTAATTCTACAAAAAGGAAGACCATATTAAAGAAAGATTTAGTAGCAGCCATAGATAGTATACCTCAATTATTCTTCCTGGATGGGGTTTTAGAGTGATTTTTATAGCTCTTGTGATATGAATTAAAAAGTGAGATCTCTTAAAAAAGATTTATTTGGTATTAACAGGACATATTTAGAAATTAAATAAGTATTTTATATTTTTTAGACTGCCCTCTTTTGTATTTAAAATTAGTGTTTTATTTCAGAGATAAAACAAATTAATTATTCAATACTATTTTTTAAACTTTACTTGGTGCATTATTTGTGAAGAATCCTTAAAAAAGTAGATTAATATAACTCTGAAAGGTTTCACTTTTTGAAAGCATTACTTCACGAGATTATTGTAATCTTTGTACTCTCTTGAAAATGGCCTCTCATGAAAAAATATTGTGAAGAAAACGAAGTCTTCAAAAATATTTCATTGATATACTTCTTAATTTTTTAATGTCAATTTATTTTATGCAGACTATAGCATATATTTAAAAAAGACAGAAGTTGTTCCAAGTTTTTTTATTATATAACATGGATTGTTATTTAAGTTTTACACTATTTCAAATTGTTATAGTAATAAAAGCTACTTATTAAACTTCTTATTTCTGCGTTTAGCGGTGCTAGAATTGTCGTGATTTCCGTAGAAACTGTTTAGGAGATTTTCGAGATCTGGAGGCAGTCTTTCGGATCTAGCGGTATTTTTGCGTGTCTGAGCAGTCTGTTTACCCAAAGCAATACGATATTGTACTTGATGAGAGTCAGGTTTGAGATGTTTTAAACTATCTTTTTGGCAGCCGGCCCATTCCGTAATATCGTAGATAGCGCCTTCCATGCATGCATAATAATGCCAAAGAAACCCGAAACAACGCGCTTCTGCCCAAATGTCACCTTCTCTAGCTGCGTGATGAATTTTACAATTGGCACAATTTCGAGCAGCATAACTTGGTCTATCCACTTTCACTCTTTTGTGTCGTACTCCGCAGGCACTGCATCTAATCGTGTTAGTTGCTGCTTCAACTTTTTGCTGAAGTTGCGCTAGAAGATCATTTAGTTCGCTCCATGCCTGTTCAACTTGTACCGATTCCGCAACACCTAAAATAAATTAAGAAAAATTTTAGTATCATTTGATAACTGAGAGCCATTGCTTTTAAATATTTTCTGTAGATTATTTTTCCTAAATCAATTTAAAAATAAATGAATAAGATATTTTAAAGATAGCTAAGTAATTATGTGGGCACTGCTATCATATTTTGGAGATGGATTGATTTACATGTATAATTTATTTTTGTAATTATTGTAATCATTAATGATTGCATATTGTAATCAATGCTAAAGTACTTAATGGAAAATATTGAATATAATTAAAACAAAACAAAACTTTCTGATTACAATTTAAAGAAACTATAAAAATAAAATGGTAATGGTATCAATGATGTATTGCATGGATTTTTTTTAAAACCTCTCAGCATTATTTGGTTCTAGCGATTTTTTTAATTAATTTCAGTTATTTCATAATAAAGTATTAATTACTAAAATAAAATATCATTTTTGTATATGTAACCATTTCAAATTTACATATAAAATTTTGAAAATAAATAGCATCACTTGTACAAATACTATCTGTAACTGCAAGAACAAATCACCTTATTTATTTTAGTTTGGTTGTTGAGTAGCAATGGTATTTGACTTCAATAAAATTAATTTTCTTACCCCTATCATAAACAGCTCTTCTTTCTGGTTCTCCGATCATGTCAAAAGCATGCACTAATATCTTAAAGGCCTCTTCAGCACCGGGTTGCTGGTTTTTGTCAGGATGCACTAGAAAAGCTTGTCGTTTGTAATACCGTTTGATATCGTCGTCTGTACATGTTGGAGTAACTCCTAAGATACTATATGGATCTTTTCCTTTACAAGCTAAAAGTCTTTTCATCGCCTCTTCTCCAGTAGACGGCATTGTTATATTATATTGCAGTCCTGGATGTTTGAACGAATGAGGTGGTTCTTCTTTCTCTTTTTTACGATTCACCTTCTCCCAGATCCATGTTAAGAAACGGAAACGTTTTAAAATCGCAATTATTGTATCGCAAAATAAGGAACACTTCAACTTTGACCATGACCATGCTTGACAAGATCTAAAAATTATTGCTTAAATTATAGTAATACATAAGCAATTAATTTTTTTACACTTCACGAGAGAGATGAACACTTAAGCTGCAAATATCCAAAATTAGATGTATTAGCCAAAAGCATATTGAAGTTAGCATTTTCCACCAGCCAGGTATGTACTTCTTCATCTTCTGACCAATATATCCTGAAAATTATTAATTTATAATAGTGAAGAAATACAGTACTAATTTTCTTAATTATTCTCACCAAAAGGAGCTGTTGTATTTTCTCTTTTTCTTGATCGTTGACTTCTTCTTCCAGGCGGTTTTTCTGTACTACCAAAACCATCAGAGTATTTTGGTTTTGAGGCAAATTTATTTTTTCTAAGAGAGCTTTTGTTGGAAATAAAACTTTCATTTTTTCCATTATTTGAGTCAGTATCTTCATTATCAACAGGTTTAGAAACTTTCTTGCTATTAATTTTAGTATTATTTTTTGGAGGAATATGGTCCTCAATGTCCTTTTTAGTACATTTTGAATCAGTGTTGTTTAGAGATTCAGACACCGGTTTAAAGTCGTCAGAAACAGATGTAACATTATCTAAAGAAGACCATTTCCTATTTAACTGTGCAGGTCTATTTTCCTTGTTTTGTTTTTCTTTAGTTTTGTTATTGCATGTATTCTTATCAATTTTACTCTCATTGTTATTACTACTACCATTATTATTATTACGATTAACATTGACATTTTTATGTATTTTCTCTTTAGGAATTCTTTTGCAGTTTTCTTTTTTATTTTTAAAATCTTTCAATTCAGCTTTTGGCTTATTTAGTGTGTGTGGTGCAGATTTAGTTAGAACTGCTGAATAACTTGGTCTCATTGGTTTTACTTCAGCAACCATTCTAGGTTTTCTGTTATCTCTTGAAAATGGAAAATAAGCATCTTCAAATTTTCCATTTGTCTCTTCAACATTTTCTTGAATATCTCTTGGACTTGGCTACATAAAAACAAGATAAAAAACAACAATCACAAGAAAAACAAGGAAAAAGATATTTCTATGAGTAGCATGCTTTTAAATATTTCATAAACAATTTATTGAGTCCAACAAATGCATCATTCAAATGCAATATCATGCCAATTCAATATCATAACTTTCATTATGAAATATTCAAAGGCATGATACTATGCAATAATTGACAAGCTTCTCTTTAATTCTACTATGCGTTCTATAAGTTTTATAAAAATTAATGTGATATATACTTGACAACTTACCTGCACATGTTCACTCAATATATTTCTAACATTGTTAGAAACATGCACATTCCCAAATGGTGAATAAGTGCCACTTGTATTAGGCATCCAATTTCCTACCAAGTTTTCAATAAACTGAGATGAATTTGAATTGGATTTTGAATCAGAATTATGTATATTTACATTTTGTTCTAAAGGAGGCACACTGTTTACATACTGAAAGTTTTGTGCTTTCAGCTCAGGATTATATAAAAGGTCTTGAACTCCATAATCACCATTGTTTATATTCTGACACTGGAAGGCATTCATGTGAATGTCTTGATGACCATCGTACAAATCAGACCTTAGCATATGAAGTTGTGTTTGCTGCATGTAGTTGAAAGGTAATTGTTGTTGATAGATTGGCGTTTGATTAACTGGAAATGTTGCCTCAGCTTCAGTTGGATGGATATTTCCAACAGAGTAATGATTCATATATGCATTTTTATGCATCTGGTTTTGCAGAGACCAGGAACAATTATTTGTGGCACAAGTAATGTCAGATGAGAATGCCAGAGGCACAAACTGCCCATTAATAGCATTATTACCTGAAGAAATTTTTTCTAATAAGTTGTCTACTGTATTATTTACAGACTTTCTGTTAGCCTCGTCCATTTTCAATATTATTTCAGGTCAAACAGTGATTACTAACTGCTCCGATCATTATAAAATAAATATAAGGATACTATATCACATTATTCACGTAGATAAATAGAAAGAAAATTTATCTAAATTCGTCTTTGAACACAACTGATGGGAGACCATAACATATTTTTAATAAACACACCAACGCTCTATAACAACGTTAATACATTAACAGGTTTTCTTTAAATTAAAGCTTTAGATAATTAATTAAAATTTAATCGTTTTACTTAGATATACGTCTACTTTATTTAATTTACACATTACAAATTATTAAAATGGTGTACTATTCTTAAAAAACACAATTGGTTAAATAGGAATTTATTTTTATCTAGTGTCGATTCCTGTTTCCATTATCCTTTGTTAGGTGACGCTTTAGTCATATTTTCTGTGTCATACTATAATGAAATTCAACAAAGGTGGCGCTACCTGGTCCAAATAGTTCAATTTTTAAAAATCTTTAATGTTTTATATGCATAATTCTGTTTAACTGAAGATATAGGTAATAAACAATTTATTATTCTATAATTTCAGATTCATTTCTACTAACTGCCGTAGTTTAAACTTCTTTGTTCTTTCTGCCCACTAAATAAACACAATCTTATTGCTGAACAGTTATGAATATTAATGTGTCTATTTCTTAAACTGATAAGCAATGTTCTACATTATAATAAATATGTGTATAGGCTTGACATTAAAAAAATAATGTCTCAATTCGAAGCTGCCGCAACTGTTTTGCATAATAAATAGATATCTGATTGACTGTGCAAAGTACTAATAATAAGTTATAAGTCGAGCTCTCTTTGGCCATTAAACATCAATCATCATATTTAAGTCTATGAATAATGGATAAATTATGCGATTTGGCCCCTGTATGCTAAACATGTTTGGAAGTTTGATAAATTGCATTTTGATTTCTAGATTGTCGTTTCCAAACTCATCATTAGTTTGANTAAATTTGTTTAAGGGCGCAAGTAGTTTTTGGCTTTGCTATGTTTTCTAGTAAAATTGGTAACTATATCAAAGTTTAATACCTAATTAATGTAATGTTTACTTGTCAAATTTTTATAATTGAATTTTTCGAGATGTGAATTTTTAAATTAGGTGAAAATATACATATATTTTGCGAATCAAGGCTGTCGCAAAGCGTTGGCACGAGAGGATGATACGATAGTTGGTAAGTCTCGGGGATCGGCAAAGTTGTTTTAAATTAGCATCAGCCACCAAGAAGAATTGTCATAAACAAAAAGTTATGCGAGAGGCATAGTCGGAGGCGCACATTAGAACGGCACCGCCGGAAATAGGCCGGAGATGAAACTGCGGCGTCATTTCCGGAGACGGTCGCCGACTAAGTTACCGCCCGCGTCTTCAAATGCGACATCAGCAACAACCCACCGAACTAGAGAAACATTATGACTTTGCACGTGTACTTCATCTTGTATTTAGATATTATTCAGTTAACTACTGCAAATTATTGAAATTAAACCTAACATTATCAGTTTTATTTATATTGAAGGTATACCTGGTTGTAGGTATCCAATATGATTTATAATGTCAATAATGACCCACAAGATTGAATAATAATAATAAAAGAATTATAAAACTATTGGGATCCGTCAAATGGGAGGAGCCTAAAAACATGGCGCCGATTAGGGAAAATTTTCGTAGTTCCTATAGTGTACAATTTTACAATTTGCCGGAACAGTTCCTATGTAAATTTTTCCCTCATTCGAGTTATAAATTTTGACACCAGATGGTGTATGCCCATTTGACGGATCCCAATAAGGCCTTTCTTCTTTGTTCTTCTTGTAGACCTTATACGATATTAAAAGAATTTATTGGACTTCCTCTTAACTGAACTTTAATTTAATTAAAAATCCTACAGTTAGCAACACGAATGCGGTTAAAATTGTAGGCACATAAACAAATTAAAAATTGCAGGTTCTGTTTCGTTATTAACATCTTTACTTTAATTGTAAATTACAAAACAATTGCACTTTCATTTAGACAAAAAATTGGAGAAAACGTTGGCATCTTCCAAATAAATATAATTTTAAATTTCACTCATGGCGATAAAGTAAATAAATAGGTAAAGGAAGAAAGAATCAAGAATCTCATACAGTAAAAGCTTTGTTTCGCACAAATTTAGAAACTGCTCTTAGGTTTTTTAGAATATTATTTTAAAGAAAACACTTTTTTTTTAGATTGGGGCTTGTACCTTCATTTAACTCTTTTAAGCAAAAACACAAAATACATTTTACGCTTTACTCATGGACGCTTAAGCCGTGTGACCAATCGTCCTGCGCTCTATTCTAGTGAATAAATAATGCCGAGATTTTTAATTTGATATACGATACAATAAAAAGGAGTCACTTCTACGCTCGCGAACGGTTAATTCAGAAATTCGGAAAAGGTTGTTAAAGGTCTATGCTTGAAGCACGGCGCTGTATGGGTGCGAAACATGGACAGTGAGCGCGGCGGAAAAGAAAAGGTCAGAAGCGTTTGAAATGTGGTGTTACCGGTGAATGATAAGGATAGCGTGCATAAAGAAGGTTAGAAATGAAGAGGTATTAGAAAGAATAGGAGAACGGAGGACTCTATGGAAGTCAATAAGAAATAGGCGAGATAGGTTGGTAGGACACCTCAGGCATGAAGGTCTAGTCAGAGACATATTAGAGGCAGAAACGGAGGTTAGGCGGGGTAGAAATAGACCTAGATTAGATTACTGTTCGCAAATAGTTATGGATGTGGGTTGTTCTAGTTTTAGGGAAATGCGAAGATTAGCTCAGAATAGGAAAGAGTGGAGATACGTGTCCAATCAGTCTTAGGACTGACGACCTTATGATGATGATGATGATGATACGATACAGGTACATATATTTAAGACCTATGCAAACATTACCTCCGAATTTTTATAAATTTAGCACTTATATATATATGTATTGATTGTGAGTCAATTAAATAAGTTCATACGTTTCATTTAATGAAAATTGAAAATAGCAACAAACATCCGCACGCATGCGGATCTTTATATTTGTAACTATTACGTCATGCCTGTGGCGTATATTGTATTCGTCGGTTTACAATACTGTTATAATTCGGGGCGCGTGACCACCCCAAAAGTCGCATAAATAGCAGATTAAGTGACCGACTTGTGGCGCACACGTGACTTGCTATAGATGCACCCTTAGCTGTACCATGATCCATACATTGAACCCGATTCTAAACGACTTGGTTAGGGATTAAATCTAAGTGCGTTAATGCTCTGTCTACAAACAAAATTTGAGTTACATATTTTATATATCCAAACTTAGCTTAATGCTAATCACAATTATTTTAAAAACTTCACAGAATTAAACCAATAAAATCTTCTTTTCCTTCTTTCTCAAATTAATACTTTAAGGGACCACAGTAGTAAGGTATTCCGTTAAAATTTTATATCAGTTTTACTCTGCCTTTACTCGTTTTCTAAAATTTCGAAAATACTCATTACCTACAGTTGCATAATTGTTTTACAATAAGATTTAGGACCTAGGTAAAATAGGAAAGCCGCAATAATATATTAATAAGGTATGCACCTTTATCTTCCATATTACTGGAAAAATAATGCATCCGCTAAATTTCAAAATGTCTTAATCTGTGAATTTTCCTTAACTTTTAAGACTTTGGCTTTACTCTTTAGAATAAGGTATTAATGGAGGCGTTCGACCCTTTTGATACTCCCCCTAGGTACCCTATCTTTTTGAAGTGAAACTTCTTTGGGCTCGAAAAATCTCAAGGCCATGAAACGACATGTTTTACAACGTTTCGTCTCGTGAAGCGATAGGCTATGAGAATAGAAAGGCGTACATGCGCACATCGGTATTACAATCAGCTGTTAGTGACCGGCATCTCATGTAGTATAATGTATATTCACTATACTTTAGTGCTAAATTAATTTTTTGGTTATATCTGTGCAGTTATATTACAGTAAATGTATTACAGTAAATGTCTATTTAACAACAATTAATGTTTATTTAAGAGTGAGTATTATTATGTATTAATTCTAATTCCTTGTAGTTATTGATAGTTTACGGTCTCTTAAGCACTTGGAAAAATAAACGGATGCGAACAAAATTGACCATTTTTTTGTGATTGAATTACATAAAAACGTATTAAAGTAATACTCCTTAGGTGGACTAAAGATAAAATATGTTGGAAAACATAAATCCTGAAAATTCCTCTTTCTTTCACCAATCATTACTTATTCGTTATAAAGGTATAGAGATCGCCAAAGACGTTTCACTTCTTTCACCTGTACTGAGTAACAGTATTCGGTCTCAAACTTGTTCTCTTTATCCTATGTAGAATAATATATTCTGATTACTACACACATTAGGCGGCTTATTTTGAAATTCCACACAAACCGATACACTAGTTATTGGATATTATAATATTAGATATCGGAGGACTTAAGCATTTTCTTAGTCCAAATTGCTGCTAAAAATAAATTGCGATTAAATTTGTTTAAGGGCGCAAGTAGTTTTTGGCTTTGCTATGTTTTCTAGTAAAATTGGTAACTATATCAAAGTTTAATACCTAATTAATGTAATGTTTACTTGTCAAATTTTTATAATTGAATTTTTCGAGATGTGAATTTTTAAATTAGGTGAAAATATACATATATTTTGCGAATCAAGGCTGTCGCAAAGCGTTGGCACGAGAGGATGATACGATAGTTGGTAAGTCTCGGGGATCGGCAAAGTTGTTTTAAATTAGCATCAGCCACCAAGAAGAATTGTCATAAACAAAAAGTTATGCGAGAGGCATAGTCGGAGGCGCACATTAGAACGGCACCGCCGGAAATAGGCCGGAGATGAAACTGCGGCGTCATTTCCGGAGACGGTCGCCGACTAAGTTACCGCCCGCGTCTTCAAATGCGACATCAGCAACAACCCACCGAACTAGAGAAACATTATGACTTTGCACGTGTACTTCATCTTGTATTTAGATATTATTCAGTTAACTACTGCAAATTATTGAAATTAAACCTAACATTATCAGTTTTATTTATATTGAAGGTATACCTGGTTGTAGGTATCCAATATGATTTATAATGTCAATAATGACCCACAAGATTGAATAATAATAATAAAAGAATTATAAAACTATTGGGATCCGTCAAATGGGAGGAGCCTAAAAACATGGCGCCGATTAGGGAAAATTTTCGTAGTTCCTATAGTGTACAATTTTACAATTTGCCGGAACAGTTCCTATGTAAATTTT